TTGTCCTACAAATAATGTTATCCACTTGCTGCTTTGATTGTTTTGTTTTCTAATGGGTCAAGAGATAGCTGTATATTTTTTAAATAGGTCATTTAACTTTTACCTTCTCAAATTCCAAATTTAGCTAGTATAATTTTTGATGTCTAAGATGTATTATTGGTTGAGAGCAAACACAAGCTTAGAAAAACCAAAAAATTTTTTCTTTACCAAAACAAAGCAACTTTCAAAAATGATGATGTTTCTTAACAAACTTTTGATGGTAGAAGAATAGGAAAATATGGAGCCATCCCATAATGAGATAGGCAGCAGCTTCCCTTTGTTCTTGCCACTCTCAGGACCTAGTTGGGTCCCCAGACTCTAGTCCTGATACCTTCTTTGGCTTATAGCACCCTCTGTTTTTCTCTCCTGTGTTTATTGTCTCCTTATTTATTTCATTGATAACTGAGGTCCTGTGGTTGGGCCTTGTGTATATGTGTATGCATGCCTGAGAAAGCAAAATAACTTTCCTTTCTCAAACATTCTATTAATAGGGAAATAGATACAAAATGTTAATTTCATCATTCCCAGAGAAGCTAACTTTACCTCTATTTTCCTATACTTTGGGGGCAACACATAATTATTGTAGGGTCTTCAAATTTTTTGAGCAAAAGTTATGATATAGCTTCTACTGTTTTTTTTAACAAGTTTAAGATGGGTTTTTTTAAGATTTTTTATTTATTTATTTTTAGGGAGGGAAGGGAGGGGGAGAGAGAGAGAGAGAGAGAGAGAGAAACATCAATGCGCGGTTGCTGGGGGTTATGGCCTGCAACACAGGAATGTACCCTGGCTGGGAATCGAACTTGGGACACTTTGGTTCCCAGCCAGCACTCAATCCACTGAGCTACGCCAGCCAGGGCTGGCTTCTACTGTTCTTTAGGAGATATCCTTATGTGGACCCTTTGCATTCTCTGTTCTGTAAACATGAGATTCAGAAAAAACAGTATCCCTTATAATGTGGTATCTGGTACTGTGTCTCTCAGGCCACTTGTAGGGAGATGGGGGTGGAATGAAATCCTGCATTTAAGGCCAAGAGTAGTCACATCACTATACCTACCACCCTGGGCCATAGTCACCTCATCTGTAATACATGGCTCTGACTTTCAATCTCTTCCAGCTCCATAGCTCTGTGATTCCATCTGAATGGCAAAGTCCCTTGTTGCTGCTGGACTAAATGTAGGTCACTGCTCTGACTTGTCCTGCCTCTGAAGGGATCCAGGTCTGTGTATCCTATAGACAAAGTTCATGACTTTCATAAATATCCTCAAAGAGGCCTTTTTTCCCTACATTATAGCTTTATTTTTCAATAACAACTATGAGTTTGTGATGCAGACTCCAGCCAGTGGGGTCTGTGTGGCTGTGATGAACAAATTCACACGGACTACAAAAGTCTTGTGGAGGAAAAGGGATGGCATGGCCACTCTCTGAGTGAGAGAGAGGGCCCTGACCCCTGTCTGGACAGGCTTTTATTACTCTTCTGGGCACATTACATCAAGGATGGTCCTCATTTACTATGTACAGGTTTGCTTTAAGTGGTTACCTTTTACAGATAACAAAGGAAAGGGTGTTGCTAATTACATCAAAGAAGAAGGATATTTGCAAATGCAAAGGGAAAAGTGGTTGAATTGGTTACATCCCTTCCATACTTGGGAGGTTTAGCACAGATTTTAGGAAGTTACTCTAAAGATATGCAGTAAACATTTGCCGCCTCAATTCAGGGCGAGGGAGTTTTAGCAAAAGCAAACCTCAGATCAGGCTAGGTACAATGCAGGCCTGATTCTCCATGGGAGAACCTATCCATGAGTATGTGTGCTGTGTGCCAGACCTCACTCCCCACTAGCCTTTCCAAGTGGGGGCTGGGCTACATTTCCCACTGCCACGAGGAATGGTCCCCTATAAGCTTGTAATTGACCTCTGCAATCTCATTTAAAAAATGTCTCCTTCCCACCACAGCCGAACACATTCAAGGAGGAGAAAGAAAACAGGTGAGAGGCTACAGAGCTATCTCACTCCAGAGTAGACTGGCCAGCCCTTCAGCCCTGGACAGCTGTTTGATTTGGCCTTTGCTGGTGAGGCTCTGGGAGGTGGGGCAGATGCTGCCAGCAGGATGGAGCCTGGGAGAGTCAATATTGAAAAGTCTGTTTGTTTTTTTGGCCTCCATCTGTTGGAAACTCTGTAATTGGAGCTACTGATAAAAAGGAAGAGGGACAGCAGAGGAATTCCTGTACTGGAACAGTGAGTGTTTTTACTGTTCCCTGAGAGAATCCTACAAGAGAAACTGGCTTTCAGTTATAGTTGAGAGCAGCAAGTGAGCAAGAAAACAATCAGAAATGCCAGGAGGAAGGGTGCCACCAAGCGTAAAGGTTACTCAGGAAGCATACCTTCTGCAAGGTTCTCTGCACCCTCCAAGCCCACTTGCTACTCTCCCCTATTGGGTGGCCCCCCATCACCTACCCCAGAGAAGAGGCAGCAACTCACAGCACAAATGTCTAATGCCACCCACCCCACTGGATGCCACCCACTTCCCTGGTCTATCCAGACACTGTAGCTGTTATCTATTTTCCTATGTCAAACTGAAAAGAGGGCCTATAATCTGGCAACTCCATAATCTGGGAACTTTCCTCCCATGCCTTGCTCTTCATCCTCACTCATCTTTATCTTCTACCTCCTGTTTTAGGGACTAAACCTGCAGCCCAGGCACATGCCCTGACTGCCAGGAATTGAACCTGCAATGTTTTGCTTTGCAGAATGACACCCAACCTACTGAGCCACACTGGTCAGGGCCCTCTTGCTTCTTCTTGAACCAGGGCTTTTGACCCTCCTCAGTCCCCATCCCTTCTCTCTCCACCAGGTTCTTGGTCTCAATCTACAAACATTTTCCAGGCTCCTCTGTGCTTCTGTTCTTCTTTTAGCTCCCACACTGCCTCCTTCCCTCCCCAGCCAATCTCCTTGAGAGCAGTCCATCCTACTCCTCCATTCCTTCACTTCCCATTCACTCCCAAACCATTGTGTTGAGGCTTCCAGCATTATTCCAAAGCAAAAAATGAAAACAAAATGAAACACGACAAAATCCCCTGTCCATGGTCCAGTGGACTTTGCATTGCTTATTCCAGGTGTCATCATAAGCATTTACTCTTCATACTCAACTATCATGAATTAGATGCTTATTACATGTCAGGCATGTAGGCCAGGAGAATACAAAAAAAACGTTTCTAATAAAACCCAAGTGCCCTTTGGATGAAGAGTCCACTAGGTTTTAGCTTCCACTTGTTTTTCAGTGTGGGTGACTTTATTTACCCTTTTACTGATGTGGGCTGGGTCTGGAAAGGCAGAGGGAAACAAAGACCTGTGAGAGTCTAGGTGAAAGGTGCAGTGTGGGCGAGGGACATGTGGAAGGCTTAGGGCTCCAACAACTCACATTTCCTAGTATTGCCAAGACACAGCAGTTGTCTGTGAGGTCTTCAGGCTTGCAGCAGCTATTTGGGACTATAAGCTTTGATGCCTAACCAAGGGTACTGTCCCAGCACAGAGCACTGTAGCAAGCAGCTGGTGGCAGGGTAGGCTAATATAGCTGGCGAAGGTGGCCATAGTGAGCTGCATACTGGCTGTATTCTGCCCTGTACTCCACAGCTCCCCTGCCTGTCACAGCAACCATCAATTCCAGATGATTCCCTAGAAACTGAGAGCTCTAGGGAAGACCTAGGTGCAGAACCAGCTGTATAGCTTGCAGGATCTAATTCAACATAAAAATGCTGGACTCCTTGTTCAAAAAGTATTAACAACTTCAAGGAGGTAACAGCAGAGCATTAAACCAAGCATGAGACTGTTCTAGTGTTCAACTCCATGTGTTAAGTGCCCAGGAAGTTGGTTCTGCCTAGCTTTTTATTCATCACCTTGTGGTTGCTCAGTAAATACTCTTTCAATGAATGAGTTTGAGTTTCTCCAGCAACTCTGGATTAGGAGTCTCAGGGTCCTGGGGAAAGCCTCTTTCCAGAGTGAAGTAACAGCTTTCCCCAGGAAAGAGGCTTTCCCCAGGAGATGAGAGATGAGGAGAGGAAGAGGGAGAGGAAGGGGGTCTCATGTACTACATACCAGCATGAGAATGCAGGTTCACCAAGAGGTTCTTCTATTGGGGCCAGTGTCTGGGGCAGGATTCACTGAGAAGGGGACATTTCAGTGGGGTCTGGATGGATGAGCAGTATGTTGACAGGCAGAGAAGCAAGGGGAAGGGCATTCCAGGTAAAGCAAAAACTCCCAGCCGCTGGAATTTGGCAACAGCCTATCTTCCTAGAGCAGGGTGCATGTGTGTTTGGGGGACATGGGGTGGGGCCGGAAAGTTAGTTTGTAGCCAGAGAGTGGGCATGAAGGGCCTTGTGTAGCAGGTTGTAGGTTATCCTCAGCCTGAACGCCTTGGAAGGCCTTTGAAGATTTATTTAAAGCTCTATTAAACATGTATATTCAATGCTTTTTATTATATAAGCATTTATGCCAACAGAAGAATATATAGAAGAGACAGAAAAGTGTAAGAAGGACAAAATCCCCTGAGTTAACAGCTGGAGTGGACCTGGATGTTGCAGGTTCTAGGATGTCAACCCACACCTCTCTCCAGTGGGCCCTCAAGGTTCCAGTCTGATTCCCCTCCGTTAAAGAAATGCTGGGCTCTGCAACCTGTTAACATTCTGGAAGCAGGACAAGAGGCTTAGGGGGACTCGGGAACAGAGTGGCCCAGATGGCCTGACCAGTTAGGTAGGCTAAGTCAGCCGCAGCCCCGCCCTCGCGGCCCAGGCTCCCTGGCCACCTGAGGTCTCCTCCGGTGGTCCCGGACCTCCCTGCGTGGCGCGTGCAGATACCGGACGGAGGGCGCCCAGGGGGTGGCGGCCGCAGCGCGGGCTCCCGGGCGCCGCCTCCCCTTCTGCGCCGCCGCTGCCGGAGGTTCCGGGCGGGGAGAGTCAGGCGGAGCAGTCCAAGGGACGGGCGGCTACCTGACAGCTGTGAGCCAGGCGGTGGCGTTGGCAGCTAGGAGGGAAGGCGGTGACTACCGAGGTACGGCGGAGGACGGTAAAGGGGTGGGCGTCTTCCCAGACCCCTTTGGCCGGTGCTGTGCAGCCCGGGAGGATGGCACGTCCTGCCTGCTTTCCCCGAGGCAGCCAAGTGAGCAAGTGTGTGTGCAGCACATGGGGTTCCTGGGAGGTCCAGCTGGAGACTGTGCTCCGGGCGGCAGCAGCTGGGGCCTGACCCCTGTCCTCAGGCCGGGCCAGGCCCCTGCTCCCTTCCCTTAGATATCCCTGTCACAGAAAGCCCTGAGAGGACTGAAGGAGGGCTGAGATCAGGAAGGGACCTCACAGATCCTTTGGCCAATCCAGCCTTTTCGTTTTCCAGAGTGAAGTGACTGGCCCAGGGTCACAGGTCTAGAAACCAGACCTCCTCACTTGCAGGTCAGTGCTAGGAGCTCCTGCCATGTGGGTCAGGACAGCAACACGACTGTTGCCATGTGTAGAAACAAAGAACTGGGAGAGACAGAGTCTGAAAGTCAGAAAGAGCGAGCCTCCCAGAGCAAAGGAAGAAGCTCAGGAAATGAGCTGCTGCTGGGACTGTACTTCCTCCCTGGCCCCCCGGTGCTGTGGTCTGGCGCGTGACTCAGCCAGCCTTGCCAACTCTGGCCCAGGTATGAGAGTGTGTGAGTGTGTGTATGAATGCACGGGGACGTGGTGAATATAGCTGAGCGTGTAGGAAAGCCCTCAAAATCCGTATGTCTGTTCACTTATGATGAACTTGTTGGGAACCTGCCCTGTGTTTGGGTCTGAGGGGGATACCAGAAATACTGAATGAATTAGCTTTGTGTTACTCCAGAGGGCAGAAAGGACCTATGGGTGGAAGTCCCCAGGGATGATGGAGTTCCACAGAAAGAACTTGACTCTTGAGATAGTGAGTTCTGTGTCTCTGGAAGAAGCCACCCCATAATAGAGAATCTTCTTATTAAGGATATGGGCATAGGGGTATGAAATAGGACAGCTTACTCCTTATAGAATCAGAATTGTAGAGTGAGGGGCCAGGGTTCATGTCCCTTTTCGGTAAAATCACCATGCACTCATCCTCTTTGGGTGGTGTGTGCCCATAAGAGCTACCCTCTGCATATTTTTGAATGATAACTGGGACACTTCTCAGATGACCTGCAGTCCCTTTGCCTTTCAGTACTCTACTATAAGAGGGATGAATGCCATGAGTCTAGGGGACTTTGGAGGAGGGAGGTCACTTCTGGAAGGAGTGATCAGGATGGCCTTCTGGAGGTGGCACTTAGGCTGTGCCTTGGGGAGGAGACTAGGACATTTCTTGGGGAGGGATGCCTGAGCAGGGTCATGGAGGGTGTGTGTCTAGGAATAAGGGGAAATGTAGTGGCAATGTGGTGAGAATGTTGGTTGGGACCAGACAGCTGGAATTTTGGGAACTGTGGTAAGGAATGGTGGAAGGCCTGGAGCATTAGCCTGGGGAACTTGAACTTCATTATTAGTCCTGGGGATATTTTTATGGGAGGAGGAATGGTGTTACTGGGGCTGGGTTCAGAAGAACTTGGCATTTGGAGCAATATTTAGGATGCACTAAAAGGGAAGAAAGCTGTGGGATGAGAACCTGGGAAGAAGATTGCGGTGGCCATGTGGGGCTGAATAGGGCTGTTGGGAATGGAGAGGAAGGGGCACGACCAGAGACATTGCTAAAAGGCATGTGTGTCGGGGGAAGAAATGGGCCAGGGCCCATGGCAGGACATTATCACACATGATTTCATTTAATCCTCCCAACAGCCTTCTGAGGAGATTATTATTTCTACAACTTTTGTAGAGGAGGAGACTGAGAGTCAGAGGTTGAATAACTTGTCCAAGGTCACACAGCTAATAGGTGGTAGGGCAGGGATTTGGACCCAGAGACAGATGGAATAGCTTCAGTCTGGTAGCTGAATAAATGTCAGAGACCAGAGCAGAGGGGAGACCATGGTGATGGAGATTTGGGTTCCATTGCTGGGCAGGGAACCCCAGGAGTGTGGTCAGTTTTGGTGGGTGATTGGAAATGTGCGAGCCTGTGATGGCATCACGCACGGGGACAGGGCCTGTGCGGCCGCTAGTTCTGCATCCCCTGCCTCAAGCCTCCTTGCTGTGAATTAGCTGAGTGTGCTTTCTGAGCCTGTCGGCTGCTGGGATGCTGGAAGGCAGCTGGGAGAAGTTGTGCTGAGGGAGTGTGGGGGGGAATCCCCTGGTATCTGTCACTGAATTCGCATCACTCCCTTGCTTTTCTCCCGTCTGGAACAATTCTGTATTCTGTCTCAGTGCAGAGGGGACTCATTAGGCTAGAGTTAGTTCAGGTTATCATATTGTCCAGGTTTGGTTCCCTCCTTTACTTCTGTAAAGGGCTAGGAGGCCCTAAAGATGTGGTTGCAGACTTGTGGAATTCCACAAGTGCAGTTTCAGGAGCCAAAGAAGAGGCCAGGGCCTCTTACAACATCATTGCATCCAGTGATCGAGGGACAAGTGTGCCCTGCTTTATAGATGGGGAAACTGGGACTTCAGAAAATCATGGCCCTTCGCCAGTGGTTAGTGAATAGCAGAGAGGAGATCAAACGTGGGTTCCCGACTCCCAGGTTTTGCTCTCACCTCTGCTATGTGGGGAGGCAGCTGCTTGGAGAGCAGCCTCTGGCCTCTCCCATAAAATAGCCCTGGGGGTGGTTTTTATAGATAGGCTCCAGCATTCTGTGGACCATTTCAAGCTCTTATTCTTTTTTCCCCTCTTAAATAATACAAACTCATGCATATACCCGAAATGGCACATTATTTCTACGCATACGTCTAGTAGCCAGGTAATTTCTTTGACATCTCAAATTGTTTCCTTTCTCTAAGAGAAATCTGGTAAGGCATAGTTTAGTTAGAGAGCCAGAAAGTGTCCCACCCAAGTGTGCAGGGTCAGCGCACAAAAGGGACTGTGTGTGCACTCACGGCCCCCTCAGGCACTGACAGGGAAGACCCAGGGAGGGAGGGTGGCTATGGGAGAAGGGGAAGGACAGAGAGAGACAAAGTGAAGAAAAAAGGAAAAACTGAGTTTATGGCACAGGCACTTTAGTAGCATGAGAAGAACTATCCTGGGGCCATACACTTCGGAAACCTGGCTCCCCGGTACTCAGAGGCAGCACAAAGCAGGGAGATAACCAGGTGGACAGAAAAAAGGACAAGAGCCAGTCAGCCTTAAAATTTATTGTGCAACCTGTTCACTTGTGAGAGAGGAAGGGAGAGTATTAATAATGATGCTGGGACAACAGGCATAAGCCAGGACGTCCCGGGCACACTGGTCATCCTCAGGACAACTGAGACCTTGTATACCTTAAGTGCCAGACATGCGTTTGCTTGTTTAAGACTCACCACAAACCAACTGGGTAGGCACCTGCTATCATCCCCATTTTATAAAACAATTAATAGAGGGACAGGCAATATCATACCCATTAATCATCTGGCCAGTAAATGGAAGAAGTGGGATTTGAACCAGGCAGTTTGGCTATGACTGTGCCTATGCCTTCAGCATGGCATTATGCTGGCCCCCTACTCAATTGCCCTCATCTCGGACTCCAGAGTGACCTTTTGGGTCTTTGTTTCCCATTGGAAGCTACTCCCAATGGCCAATTTAGGATGACTTCATCTGCACGACAAATGAGTTTGTGGTTGAGGCTGAGGTGCTACACCTTGTTCAAACCAGCCTTGGCTTCAGGTCTGGTTCATTCTTACCTGGTACCCACTCCACCCTTTCAGATTAAGTCACATATGTGGATGTATGTACTGGGTAGAACCTAGAAAGACCCTTTTGAAGGCAGGCCATTGTTGGGAATGGGTTCCTAAAGGCCCTTGTCTGCTGGGGGTAACTAGAGGGATCACTGCCTGATGGACAAATTTGCATACAGGGTCTCTCCTAGCTTGAGGAATGTAATTTTGTTTTGTGACAGATTCTTTTGCAGATAGTGCATTCCCTTCATCATTTTGTTTTGGCTCCCAGCCCTGGCTTTCTCTGAATGTCAGCAGGGCTTGCTTATCCGGCCTGCTTGTTGACACATCCGGGATGGGCCAGCCAGGGGAGGCGTATGCAGGGGCAGAGCCTGACAGTGGGCGATGCTCCAGGCCTTTCTAGGAGATGCAGGGAGGTTGGAGCAGACAGGTTTCACATGTGGTCCAGAGTCCAAGGGCCTCTGTTCCCACTGAACCTGTGTTGAAGACCCCTTATACACAGAGTAGAGATGCCCTGCTCAGGGCTGGGGAAAATGTGTGGCTAGGTCAGAGAACTCATGGTAGGGAGGGAACTGTGCCTCATGCAAGAGATCTCTGGCACGGGGCTGGATTGGCTCAGTGCCCAGCCCTCAGCTCTGAGTGCTCTGCTGGATCTGTGCAGTTCTGTGTCCTGTTGGGCTTAGAGGAAAGGTGAGAAGGGCAAGACTTAACACACATGCTGTGAGTGTGCCAAGACCCGATGGAACCAGCTCTGGGACCTCCCTAAACTACATTTGTGTTTCTGGACAGGCAGCTTCCTTAACTCCCTTTTAATCTTACTGTAGCACAGGGGAAGTAGGAAGGTGGCTACAATGGCTCAATTACCAGTGCAGACAAGAGGAATATCTCCTATTCCCTGGGCAATCAGCTTATTTTCACTTTATTTACTTTAGCGATTGCTCAGTGTTGAGCTCCAGGATTTGCAGCTGGCCCAAATTTTCCTGGTAAATGCATGCAGCTTTGCCACATTGAATCCACGTCAGCGCACACCCTCCGTGCTGGCATGTGAGGTCAGGTTGGTGGTGATGTAGAGAGGGAGATCAACTTCCTGCAGCCCCACCCTGATCACACACAGAACTTCAGGGACTTTCTTCCCACTGTACCTAGAGGCCAGATGCAAAGGCTGTACCAGGGATGGCTGACGGCTTGGCATAAAGAAACTCAGTCCTTATTACAGACTTGTGGGATAGGCATTGTACTATTATTATCATTCTCCCCAGTTTACAGATGAGGTTTGTAGAGGTAGAGTAACTTGCTGAAGGTCATACAGCTATTAAGAGGCCAAGCTGGAATTCGGACTTGGGCAGCCTTGGTCCCAGGGGCATGTCCTCAACTATTCCTCAGCCTGCCCGTCCAAAT